AAGACAAAGAAAAAGATAAGCCACAGGATGGGCAGACATATTTGTGAGATAGCCAACAAATGACTATAATCTAGCATAAAGAAATAATTTATTCAGATCAAGGGGAAAAGGCTACTCAATGTAAAAATGGACAAAAAGCTTCAAAAGATACCTATAAAAGAAGAAATCCAAATGCACAATAAAATCAATCTTATTATTTGTTAGAGAAATGGAAATTAAAATCACAGTGACTTACTTCCCACCAGAAGTGACAAAAATTAAAAGGTATGAAAATAACAAGATGGTTACTTTACTGACAATATAGAGTAACAGAATCACTCATATACTATGTGTGTATATAAATTGGAGTCACCACTTTGAAAAATTGGCATTATCTCATAAATATGTGCATATTTTATTATGTATAATCCCAGTCCCATGTATATACTGTAAAGAAAATTGTATACATAGGTACATGTAAAGAATATTCATAACAATATTATTTATGATAGCTCCAAACTGGAAACAACACATATATTCATCAACCCTAGAATGGATATATAAATAATGGTACTCTCACGTATCCAAATTCTATACAGCACTGAAAATGAATAAACTGTTGCTACATGGGTGAAACTTCTGTAAATACCACCAAACAAAGGAAGCATGACACAATGGAGCCCACACACCATGACTTTACTTACATCAAGTTCTAAAACAGGCAACTCTGTTTTCTAGGATTGCATACTTGGGTAGGTGTATTGATATTCGCAAGCTAGGTAATTGAAAATTTTTTAATAAAAGGTACGGGCAAGGTTTGGGAAAAGCTATAAGGAATGTAAGGAATGGTACAGCGTCCTAGTGCTGATAACAGCAGGAGCCATAACTATTCTTAAGTCAGAAGGGTAAGCAGAGGGAACCCAGAGGGCGAGAGTTGTGTGAAGAGTTAAGTCTTTTAGAAATAATGGCCTTTGGTTGTTGTGATGGTTAATTTTGTATATCAACTTGACTGGGCCATGGTGCCCACGTATTTGTCAAACTTATTCTGGATTTCTGTGAAGGTATATGAAATTAACATCTATTTAATTTTTTTTTTTATTTGAGTAGAATGGGCACACAATGTTAAGCTAGTTTCAGGTGTACAGCATAGTGATTCAACTTCTCTATATGTTATGTTATGCTCATCACAAATGTAGTTACCATCTGTCACCATACACCATACAACTGTGCCTTTTGTTCCTGTGACTTATTCATTCTAGATTAACAATTAAATCAGTGGATTTTGAATAAAGCAGATTACCCTCCATAATGTGGGTGGGCCTCACCCAATCAATTGAAGGCCTAATAGAACAGACTGACCTCCCGCAAGCAAGAAGGAATTCTGCCAGCAGACAGTCTTTGGACTTGAATTGTAATTCTTCCCCACATCTCCAGCCTGCTGCCTACCATGCAGATTTTGGACTTACCAAACCTCCACAATCACATGAGCCAATTCTTTAAAATAAATCTCTGTCTCTCCTTCTCTCTCATATATATGTATGACATATATATCAGTGCAGTATGTATAACAGTATTATATTTATAAACACATGTGCATGTGCACACACACACATACCCTGTTGATTATGTTTCTCTGCCTACCCTGATGAATACAGTCAGTAATAAAACCAACCTGGCTAGCCCTTGGGGAGACTCTCTAGGGGAAGAGGCAGGGGAGGAAAATATTCTGTTTTATTCCACTCCCTCTGATCTTCCTGTTGATAAATGCAAGTGGAAGCCAGAGGCCAAAGGAACCTGTTGATATAGTTCATACAAGCTAGCTTCCCAGTATATAGAGCAGGGTGGAGAAGAGAGAAGAGTGGGCCTGGGTAGGCAAAGAAAGAATTAAACTTTATAAAGAAAATCTGGGAAATTATTACCATAAAATTCAGAATGGTGGTTCCCTAGCAGGGTGAGAAAGTAACTATCTAGAAGGGACACAAGTGTTGGGGTATTTCCTTATCTGAATGATGGTTAAATGGGTGTTTGTTTTATAATTATTCATTAAACCATGCATTTGTGTTTTCTGCTTTTTGTATATTTCATAATTTAAAAGTTTGAAGAAGAAAACAATACTGAACAGTAAGAACTTGTATAATACTTGAGTTTTAAAATTCTTAACAATTTTCCAGGTGAGCAAGTTTGTAGCACTTAAAATAGTCTGTTTAAAACAATAGAAATTTGTTATATACAAGCATACAAGTCCTGACAAGTGAAATAATTAAATAACTCAGAACTAAAAGATATTTTCTTTTAAAAAAAAAAAGTTGCTTTGAGCCAAATGGGGAAGAAAAATATTAGCTAGAGACTTGGACATGTTTAAATACTGACAGTAATGAATAGTAAAGAGGTAAATGTTGAAGCCACCAGAGAAGAAAGGGGAAACAGATGGAGTGCAGTTCCTCCAGTGTCGAAAGGGGAAGCACACACAGCACTACCAGAGGGATTAGCCTTCAATAAGATGAGGGATATTTATTGCACTGTGACTGAAGGAAAAAGAGAAAGATGTATGTGGCTGCATATAAATTTGCCAGCTTAGTAGTGGGAAGCTGAGGGGAGTTCCCCATCTGATGCTTCTTTCTTCTCTGGGACAGAAAGCATGAGGGAAGAGAAGGAGGGGAAGAGATATCAAATCTGAGACTGAAGACAGGGAGAAAGCTTGAACTACTTTGGAGAACAAGAACAACAACCAGGTTTGCCAAGAAGTACCAAATACCCAGTTGAAGTTGGAGACCATGAATTTATAGCACCATCAATCTGTATGGTGACTTATACAGCATTATTTAGCAACCCATATATGGGTATAGAAAAATCAGACACCTGGATTGATCCAGGGTTGGGGTTTTGGACTGAAGGACAATAGAACAAGGAATGTGAGGCTAAGGACAAAGAAGCACCATGGGCTCTCAAATGGATAGGACAGGAAATGAAGACAGAAGAGGGCTAGCAGAGAGGGAGAACAAAGAAAGGTCAAGGGTTTGGATGTTATATGAGAGCATGGGTAGGGAGTAACTGAATGATGGAAATGGAAGGATGGAAGGTTGTATGACCAGGCTGTAGAATATCTGAATGGGAAATAGTTGTAGGTAGCAATAATAACTAAAGACTGGCCATGGGAAAGGAGGGATAAAGTGGAGTGGAGGTGAAGGTCATCAAAGATGAAGAGGCTAAAAAGTTGAAAGAGTAGTTCATGTGGACACTGATATCATGGAGGATCATAGACATATTTGAAATAGAAAGAAAAATAGTACACATTGCATGAAGTGGGGGTGGGGTTGACTGGGAGGTTGCTAAATGACAGCACAAGGACAGGTAGAAGGAAGTACAGTAAATGGCTCTTTGGGTCAGAAGAACAGCTCTTCAGGAAGATAGAGGAATAATGGTCTAGTTCTCCCCTCTACCCCAATTGGAATTCCAGAAGGTAAACTAGAAAAGTTTTGCCGGAAAAAAATGCATAGGCAAACCTAGATGACCAGGATAAGTTATAGTTGGGCCTGTAATAAGGATATCAGGGAATGGGGCATTTTAGGTTAAATTGTCTATAAAGCCTTCAAGAATTCACTCTAGAAATGCGCTGATTTTGAGTAGTGGGTGGTATTGGTATCCCAGATTGCCAAGGTGGGCTCTGGGAGATTCCAAGTTTTTAGGTCACTCCCTGATCTGAGAATCTAGTAGTAAAGAACACATGTGCATTAAACACAAATGTCTGCATACTAGTTCAGTAGGTTATCAGATTCTTTTGAAGCTCTAGGCTAAGGACCATATTTAGAAGATGGCTTTGTAAATATAGCTATTGGATGATCTTTGTGGCTAATTCCATCATGTAGATAGATATTAGTATCTCCTAAGGCCAAACTTGCCAATCAGAAGAGAAAACTTTAGAAAACTGATCAAGTTATAAATTGGCACAAATTTCCAGTTTTCTCTGAAAAATAATGCCCCCTTAACAATTCAATGCTGGCATAACTCCAATTAAAATGTTTGTTTATATATACAAAACATCCTTGGGATCAAAATGACCTGTACCTTAAGTACTTAATAAATGTTTGCTGAGCTGAAAGGATAAAAGCAGACTTTCCATGTAGACTTTCCTGCAGGAAAAAGAAGGTGTTGGCTACATATCATAGGTTTCTAGGCCCTTTGATAGTTATCCTTCTCATTATAAATGATCAAATTGGTGTTCTAGTTTATACACTGGCCTCTTGTGCATTGAGTTAGCACAAACCTCATCCCTTGAGTATGATCAACTCTGGGAACCCTGACAAAATTAAGTTTCTGGACTTGCAAAACTGAGGAATGAGCCCTGGAAAATGTGACTTGACTGAGGCAATATCATCCTGAGGCCAGCCTGCCTGGCCCAGCTGGCCTCTCCCTATAACACTTCTAACTTGGTTGTTTAGAAAAGCAACTCTATTGAAATCACTTTTACCTCCAGCAATAAAAATCCTTGAGACCACGATGGAGTTGTTAGCAAAACATCATGGTAATCTCAGTTAATGCAAGAGGACTAAGTAATGTATTAGAAATCATAGTTAATAAAATACAGTGGCTGAAAATGTCTCCTAATTCTAGAGTCTAGCACCGGGGAGTTATTAACAGTGTATATAATTTGTGACTGTTCATGGGTAGTGACCTAGTAACAGACTGTTCCATTTTAAGGCTACAGCTTGTGAGTTCTAAAATGCTCGTAACAAAACAAAGCAGACTCTGCTCTTTCGACTGGTTTGTTTTGTTTGTATTATACTTCATTGCTTCTTGTGTTATGCCAGAGTTGCACATTTCTGAGTGTCTCATTCTTCTTGTTCATAGAATCATAAACTTTTCCCACTACTCTGAAGAGTGGGACATAATGACTGGCAAAAACAGGATTTTTTCCAACATGGCAACCATTCCAATAACAATTACTGATTATTCTTTTGTTTCTGTTCACCTATAAAAAGATAACTAACTAACCAGTTCAACAAAATGTCATTTCTTGCTAGATTTCACTAGAAGAAAGGAGTTTCTTGCCCTTCAGAATTTCATAAATTCTCCTAATGATTTGCCAATTCAGTATTTGGAAAAAAAAAAGTCACAGTATAAACATGCACATCCTTTAATTTTACCTGCTGGTAAGTAATTTAATCCTTATTTTTATATTAAATCAGCAAGGATACACTATGGCTTAAAGCAAAACTGGAGAATTTAAACAAAGCCCTGGGCTTGTAGTGGGGAAGGATGGGAGTTTACGGATAGGATGTTGGGGGATGGTTGTTTAGGTTCCTCTCTTTTGGGGGATATTTCAGTGGAAACTTTGAGAAGCTCTGCTTGCCACTGGGATTACTCTGGAATCATCTTTGCTTTGTTTCTCCTACTTATCACTTCTCTGAGAAAGGTCTAGATACTTTTGAATAAAAATACTGAATTTTTAAAAAAATTTTATTTTATTATGTTAATCAACATAATCATTTATTTATAATGTTAGTCACCATACATTACATCATGTAGTGTTCCATGATTTCATTTTTTGCGTATAACACCCAGTGCTCCATTCAATACGTGCCCTCTTTAATACCGATCACCAGGCTAACCCAAACCCCCACCTCCCTCCCCTCTGGAACCCTCAGTTTGTTTCTCAGAGTCCATAGTCTGTCATGGTTCCTCTCCCCCTCCGATTCCCCCCCCCTTCATTTTTCCCTTCCTACTATCTTTTTTTTTTTAACATATAATGTATTATTTGTTTCAGAGGTACAAGTCTGTGATTAATCAGTCTTACACAATTCACAGTGCTCACCATAGCACATACCCTCCCCGAAATCTATCACCCAGCCACCCCATCCCTCCCACCCCCCCACCACTCCAGCAACCTTCAGTTTGTTTCCTGAGATTAAGAATTTCTCATATCAGTGAGATCATATGATACGTCTTTCTCTGATTGACTTATTTCGCTTAGCATAATACCCTCTAGTTCCATCCACATCGTTACAAATGGCAAGGTTTCATTTTTTGACAGCTGCATAATATTCCATTGTATATATATACCACCTCTTCTTTATCCATTCATCTGTTGATGGACATTTTGCCTCTTCCCATAGTTTGGCTATTGTGGACATCGCAGCTATAAACATTGGGGTGCATGTACCCTTTCAGATCCCTACTTTTGTATCTTTGGGGTAAATACCCAGTAGTGCAATTCCTGGGTGATATGGTAGCTCTATCTTCAACTTTTTGAGGAACCTCCATACTGTTTTCCAGAGTGGTTGCACCAGCTTGCATTCCCACCAACAGTGTAAGAGGGTTCCCCTTTCTCCTCATCCTTGCCAACATCTGTCATTTCCTGACTTGTTAATTTTAGCCATTCTGACTGGTATGAGGTGGTATCTCATTGAGGTTTTGATTTGTATTTCCCTGATGCCAAGTGATGTTGAGCACTTTGTCATGTGTCTGTTGGCCATTTGGATGTCTTCTTTGCAGAAATGTCTGTTCATGTCTTCTGCCCATTTCTTAATTGGATTATTTGTTCTTTGGGTGTTGAGTTTGATAAGTTCTTTATGGATTTTGGATACTAGCCCTTTATCTGATATGTTATCTGCAAATATCTTCTCCCATTCTATCAGTTGTCTTTTGGTTTTGTTGACTGTTTCCTTTGCTGTGCAAAAGCTTTTTATCTTTTTTTTTTTAAAGATTTTTATTTATTTATTTGAGAGAGCGAGAATGAGAGAGAGCACATGAGAGGGGGAGGGTCAGAGGGAGAAGCAGACTCCCCGCCGAGCAGGGAGCCCGATGCGGGACTCGATCCCGGGACTCCAGGATCATGACCTGAGCCGAAGGCAGTTGTTTAACCAACTGAGCCACCCAGGCGCCCCAAAAGCTTTTTATCTTGATGAAGTCCCAATAGTTCATTTTTGCCCTTGCTTCCCTTGCTTTTGGAGATGTGTCTCACAAGAAGTTGCTGTGGCTGAGGTCGAAGAGGTTGTTGCTGTGTTCTCCTCTAGGATTTTGATGGACTCTTGTCTCACATTTAGGTCTTTCATCCATTTTGAGTCTATTTTTGTGTGTGGTATAAGGAAATGGTCCAGTTTCATTCTTCTGCATGTGGCTGTCCAATTTTCCCAACACCATTTGTTGGAGAGACTGTTTTTTTTTTTCCATGGGATATTCTTTCCTGCTCTGTCAAAGATTAGTTGACCATAGAGTTGAGTGTCCATTTCTGGGCTCTCTATTCTGTTCCATTGGTCTATGTGTCCGTTTTTGTGCCAGTACCATACTGTCTTGATGATCACAGCTTTGTAATTAGGCTTAAAGTCCAGAATTGTGATGCCACCAGGTTTGGTTTTCTTTTTCAACATTCCTCTGGCTATTCAGGGTCTTTTCTGGTTCCATACAAATTTTAGGATTATTTGTTCCATTTCTTTGAAAAAAGTTGATGGTATTTTGATAGGGATTGCATTGAATGTGTAGATTACTCTAGGTAGCATTGACATCTTCACAATATGTGTTCTTCCAATCCATGAGTGTGGAACGTTTTTCCATTTCTTTGTGTCTTCCTCAATTTCTTTCATGAGTATTTTATAGTTTTCTGAGTACAGATTCTTTGCCTCTTTGGTTAGATTTATTCCTAGGTATCTCATTGTTTTGGGTGCAATTGTAAATGGGATTGACTCCTTAATTTCTCTTTCTTCTGTCTTGTTGTTGGTGTATAGAAATGCAACTGATTTCTGTGTATTGATTTTATATCCTGCCACTTTACTGAATTCCTGTATGAGTTCTAGCAGTTTTGGGGTGGAGTCTTGGGTTTTCCTCACAAAGTATCATATCATCTGCAGAGTGAGAGTTTGACTTCTTCTTTGCCAATTCAGATGCCTTTTATTTCTTTTTGTGGTCTGATTCCTGTGGCTAGGACTTCTAACACCATGTTGAATACCAGTGGTGATAGTGGACATCCCTGCCGTGTTCCTGACTTAGGGGGAAAGCTTTCCATTTTTCCCCATTGAGAATGATATTTGCTCTGGGTTTTTCATAGCTGGCTTTTATGATATTGAGGTATGTACCCTCTATCCCTATACTCTGAAGAGTTTTAATCAAGAAAGGATGCTGTACTTTGTCAAATGCTTTTTCTGCATCTATTGAGAGGATCATATGGTTCTTGTTCTTTCTTCTATTAATGTATTGTATCATATTGATTGATTTGTGGATGTTGAACCAACCTTGCAGCCCAGGAATAAATCCCATTTGGTCGTGGTGAATAATCCTTTTAATGTACTGTTGGATCCCATTGGCTAGTATTTTGGTGAGAATTTTTGCATCCATGTTCATCAGGGATATTGGTCTGTAATTCTTCTTTGTGATTTTGGGATCAAGGTAATGCTGGCCTCATAGAAAGAGTTTGGAAGTTTTCCTTCCATTTCTATTTTTTGGAACAGTTTCAGAAGAATAGGTATTAATTCTTGTTAAATGTTTGGTAGAATTCCCCTGGGAGCCATCTGGCCCTGGGCTCTTGTTTGTTGGGAGATTTTTGATGACTGCTTCAATTTCCTTAGTGGTTATAGGTCTGTTCAGGTTTTCTATTTCTTCCAGGTTCAGTTTTGGTAGTTTATACATCTCTAGGAATGCATCCATTTCTTCCAGATTATCTAATTTGCTGGCATATAGTTGCTCATGATATGTTCTTATAATTGTATTTCTTTGGTGTTGGCTGGGATCTCTCCTCTTTCATTCATGATTTTAATTATCTGGGTCATTTCTCTTTTCTTTTTGATAAGTCTGGCCAGGGGTTTATCAATCTTGTTAATTCTTTCAAAGAACCAGCTCCTAGTTTCGTTGATCTCTTCTACTGTTTTTTGGTTTCTGTTTCATTGATTTCTGCTCTCATCTTTATTATTTCTCTTCTCCTGCTGGGTTTAGGCTTTATTTGCTGTTCTTTCTCCAGCTCCTTTAGGTGTAGAGTTAGGTTGTGTACTTGAGACCTTTCTTGTTTCTTGAGAAAGGCTTGTATTGCTATATACTTTCCTCTTAGGACTGCCTTTGCTGCATCCCAAAGATTTTGAACAGTTGTGTTTTCATTTTCATTGGTTTCCATGTATTTTTTTAATTCTTCTTTAATTTCCTGGTTGACCCATTCATTCTTCAGTAGGATGCTCTTTAGCCTCCATGTATTTGAGTTCTTTCTGACTTTCCTCTTGTGATTGAGTTCTAGTTTCAAAGCATTGTGGTCTGAAAATAGGCAGGGAATGATCCCAATCTTTTGGTACCGGTTGAGACCTGATTTATGACCTAGGATGTGATCTATTTTGGAGAATGTTCCATGGGCACTAGAGAAGAATGTGTATTCCGTTGCTTTGGGGTGGAATATTCTGAATATGTCTGTGAAGTCCATTTGGTCCAGTGTGTCATTTAAAGTCTTTATTTCCTTATTGATCTTTTGCTTAGACGATCTATCCATTTCAGTGAGGGGGATGTTAAAGTCCCCCACTATTATTGTATTGTTGTCGATGTGTTTCTTTGCTTTTGTTATTAATTGCCTTATATAATTGGCTGCTCCCATGTTAGGGGCATAGATATTTACAATTGTTAGATCTTCTTGTTGGATAGATCCTTTAAGTAGGATATAGTGTCCTTCCTCATCTCTTATTACAGTCTTTGGTTTAAAATCTAATTTGCCTGATATAAGGATTGCCACCCCAGCTTTCTTTTGGTGTCCATTAGCATGGTAAATGGTTTTCCACCCCCTCACTTTCAATCTGGGGGTGTCTTTGGTTCTAAAATGAGTCTCTTGCAGACAGCATATTGATGGGTCTTGTTTTTTAATCCAGTCTGTTAGCCTGTGTCTTTTGATTGGGGCATTTAGCCCATTTACATTCAGGGTAACTATTGAAAGATAGGAATTTAGTGCCATTGTATTGCCTGTAAGGTGACTGTTACCGTATATTGTCTGTGTTCCTTTCTGGTCTGTGTTACTTTTAGGCTCTCTTTTTGCTTAGAGGACCCCTTTCAATATTTTTTGTAGGGCTGGTTTGGTGTTCACAAATTTTTTTAGTTTTTGTTTGTCCTGGAAGCTTTTTATCTCTCCTTCTATTTTCAATGACAATCTAGCTGGATATAGTATTCTTGGCTGCATATTTTTCTCATTTAG